GATGTGGAACTACACATTAAAATAGCCATATATAAATAATTAACTATTAATTTATTATAATAACATATCATATAAATGATGATATAAACTATTAAACAAGAACTAAACATAGGAAAAAAAAATTCAATTGACATTCATTTGATATGTTAAATTTTTATCTTGAAAATTAAAAAGTTAAAGTAGAACTACTAATATTGAAAGAAGGCAATGAAAGTTAAAGAATATATATTCCTTGATTATTTGCCAATATAAAAGAAAAATTAAACGTTGAGTTCTAGTTATTCTAGATTTTTTATAAAATTTCTTAATTTTAGCTTTTTTCTAATTTAATTAAAAAATAACCACTACCGTAAACTAAACATGCTAGTGTTGATAACATGAAAATTCCCCATTATCTTTTAATAGAAAAGAGATAAAGTCCTTGAATTTTGGTTGAATTGATGAAATGCATTACCCCAGAGAACAAGTGAAATTGGGTTTTATGCCATTTCGGACCATACAATATCTACATGAACGCTGGTTCTTACCATTAAAATTATTGTTAATAAATTAAAATCAATCAATAAATTAATATTTTGAAATATTAATTTTTTATAAAATCTAAAATTTTAATATCCTTTAACCATTTTGACGGCGACGGTACACCGTGTATGATCAAATATGATTATATTAGCTTTGACATGTTGATGGATGACATGAGGTTATTGTTTGACTTTTTTTTTTTTTTTAACAATATTATCATAAGATGGGTTAAAACCACTTAAAAAAAAAAGCATCTCAAAATTGTCAAAAGTCACTTAACTCGAAATAGTGAGTGCTGTTTGACTTGTCTTTTAATACAATCTTATATGTTGTTTAATACTTAGCTCTTTTTATTGTACTAAGGCTTTTAATATCAAATACATCAACTTATTTAAAAACATGTACAAGTTGTTAAAAAAAATTATAAAAGAAATTATCTACATATCATTAGCCTATGACAAAATTGGCTATAAGTACATGCATAACTCCAGAAATGAATTGCTAAATTGAATTGGGAATGAATTTATCATTTACCAAATTTAGAACTATAATCCCAACTATCTATCCCTCAATTCCTAAGATATAAAACTCATTTCTTTTCCTTTATAAAAATATGAATTAAGTTTTCAATATATATGTATAATCTGTTATGCAAAATAAAATAGAGATCAACTGCACTCTTACAAATAAAGTGCAGAAAAATAAAAAGAAAAGGAAGAGAATATCAAGCCGTGATTTATAGTGGTTCCTTCAAGCCGTGATTTATAGTGGTTCCTTCAACCCGGAGTACGTCCACTCCCCAAGCCTCTTTGCTCGAGAGTTCAATCCACTAGAAATCTCTTGCTTATGGGTGCAAGATTAAACCAGAACAAACTCTTGCTTATGGGTGCAAGATTAAACCCTCACAAATGAATCTCAACTCACTCAACCCCTTTAAGGATTATCCCAATCCAAAAAGAATACAAAACCCTTGTAAGACAATTAACCCAAAAGCTCACAAGAAGAGAAGAAGAAGGAGATCCAGAACACTTTCAAAAACAAACCCTGTTTTTCTGTATTGCTGGAGCAGTTTGTCCTTCTTCATCCATCTTCTTCAGATCTGATTTTATGATCTATTTAATAGTAGGTTTGGAGCCTTGAAATTAAAGTCCATTTAGCCCTTCAAAGCCACCCCACAAATACTCCAATTAGATTTCACCTTATTCTACTAACTTTGACTTGACTTTGAAAAGTGCTCAGACAATGGTTCCCCCAAGGCCCATTAAGAATAAGAATAAACGGATAGATGAGCTGTCAAAATTTAACCTTTCAGAATTTTTTGCTTTGAAGCCAGAAATAATGGTTCAAACCATTTTCGGAAAAAAGAAGTTCGGGATTGGTTCAAATCAAATTAAATTGATTCGAATCCAAAACTCTGAACAATGGGAACATGAATTAATTCTAATCGTGGGGAAAGATTAGAATTCTTGAATTAATTTTCCTGCACACTTAGCACAAAAATATATTAAACTTTTTTGAATTATAGTTTTAAATCATCATCAAAATACAAAAGAGAACCTAACAAGAACTATACTTTTTATTAAAGGACTTTTTTTACCTATACACTTAGAGCATAGATTAAGAATATTTTTTATTATAAATACACATAAAAATATAAAAATTGATATTAATTTTAGTGTCAGTGTTAAATATGTGAATTTAATTAAATAATTAATAAATTAAAAATTGATTTTTATTTTTTTAATATAAATTTATGATAAAAAATGTATTTAATACTTTCTTAAACTATACTATAAATTAAAATATTCCATCATTTTCTTTCCATATTAGTTTTTTTTTTTTTGGGCGAATCATATGAAATTGCATTAAATGGGAGTTTGGTCCATTAAATAAAGCATACACTAAGTTCTAGAGATTTCAGTTCAAACATATCAGCATTAAGGCAAATAATTAAGGCCAATAAAGCATACACTAAGTTCTTTCCATATTAGTTGGACCGCCTTTTTTCTATAGAAAAACCCAACCATAGCACTTGCTGCTATATACCCCAGATTTACCAATCTTTCTTTCCTTAGGAAAATTTTATAGAGACAATGGCGGCTAGGGCATCAATCACAGTAGCAGTGCTGATGTTCTTCTTTTTGATGCACGGCGAGGCTGACGTAACAAGGTATATCCTCGGCGATGATTTAGGTTGGACCAACATCGTAAGCATGGAAACTTGGCCAGAAGGCAAAACCTTCTATACCGGCGACATCCTCGGTAAGCTATACAACAGTTTGAATGACAGTCAGTTTTTATACACATATATTTTTTATATTAAATCTCGATAATTACATTATGTCTTGATTAATCTGAAATTGAATTACGTTAGACCTATAAAGAATAAATTTTCTCATGATTTATTTTTTTCATTTATAAAACTTGAATTCCAAATATTATTTAAAAAGAATAAAATTTTTTTCACTCGAATCAATAAATTATTAATATGACATTTAATTTTTATATATATATATAATTTTGTTCATATGGTTTGTTTTCGTTTGGTCCAGAATTCCATTATGACCAGTATTCATACGATGTGGCCATCGTAAATCAGACGGGGCATGACTCATGCACTGTGAACGAAGGGGCAAAGGTATTTAAAACCGGAAACGACGAATCCCGCTTGTGTTTGGAACGAATTAATGCATCTGCAGCAATGCTCTTGACTGTTCTCTCAGCATGAAGATGGCCATTGATGCCAAAGCTCGCCCCTCCGAATGAAATTAACATCCATTATATATATATATATATATATATATAAAGGTTTATATATATATATATTATATAATATATATGTATATATATATACATAGGTTCTTATGGTGAGACTTTTTTAAGTAACAATAATTGTTTGTCAAAGTATTAAATAAGTATTCAATAATATAGAGCCATTTTGTTGTTACTGTTTCTTTTTTTTTTTTAATTTTTAATTTCACAATACCACATTCTTCTGTCTCTTAATTTTAATTTTAATTTTTTTTTATTTTGTTATATATGATGTGATTGATAGGTAAACATAAGTGAGTTTTGTTTTATATATCAATAATAAAGAATGATATACATATATATATATGGATAATACATATTAATTTCAACTTTTAAAAAAATATTTTCGAAAAAAAAAAAGAGTTCAACATGGTTTTATTTAATTAAAATTTAATTTAAAATTCAAATTCAAAAATTCATATTATTAAATATTGACTACCTATATTTAAAAATTAAAAATATAATTCAAATTTTAAAAGTTTACATTATTAAAATTGATATTTAGATTTAAAAATTGATTAATATAATTATTTGAAATGACATTATTTAAAATTAAAACTCTTAAGATTTTTGGAAGTTGGAAATATATGTATATATATAAACCCATTATTTTATAGTTTGAAGTGCTTTAAATTGTAAAATAAGGACTTTTAAATGGAAGGAGAGACCAAATATTAAGAGATCCTTCTCCATTAGATGGTTCGTATTTTACAATTTAAAATAATTCAGAGTATAAAATATTTTTTTGATATATATATCCTTTTGATTTTACACCTATGATGCATTCTTAGCAAAAAAAAAATAAGCAACATATTTTTGGCATACAAATATTTTTAGATATTTGCTTGATTAGCCGCATTGGTTTTTTTTTGGAGAAAAAAAAAAGGCATTAGTTTTTACAATATAACCTTTTATATACAACCAAATGTAGGGATGAGTTTCATGATTTTGCGTACCCATTCCTCCCTCAATGATTAAAAGTAATGTGGAACATATAAAATAAATTGCACTATTCTCAAACATGTATATGTTACACGTTTGATTCAACCTAAGGGTTGAATCACCAATGTGTTGTATATATACAAGTTGGTAAGCGAAGCTATGGTGGCTCATGGAGCAGGAGCATCATTAATGAAACTTCAATCTCAGAGCCAGCACCGAAGAAATTAATTTTCTTGTGCATTCTTAAGTTCGCCCAAAAATTGATGTGTAAGTTGATCTGAGACACCATGACTCTAAAAAAAAAAGGGTCTAAATCGAACCCGCACCCCATACCTGCACTATCCATATAGATTCCTAGCTCTCCTCCATGTTAACCCTTATCATCCTACAAAAATCATTGGCTAAGACATCAAACAAGAAGGTAATATAAGGAGGTTTAATAGTTTTTATCATCCTTTAAAGATCAGTAGTATTAAACATGCGACTTGTCCGTTGAATCAGACAGGAAGAACTGTTGAGCCTATCACACTTTTCTGCTGTCCCAAAAGACATTAAATAACAAGTAAAAGGCAAACTGGGAGGGTGAAGAGATTTTGAGATGGACTCTCATCTCAGCAACAGCGCACTTATGAAATATCATTGACAAAGAATATGATAAGTTTTGCACATTATTTGAATCTTTGATGTCTATCAGCAGATTCATGATATAACAACAGAGATTAAAAAGATTATTGTGGATTGAGATATTTAGCTACCTAGTTTAAAAGCATCCACAAAAAGACCTAAGCACACACCAGCTTTCCAATAGTTCATCAACGATATGAAGGACTGCATCCTTGTTGATACAGCAGGGGGCTTTCTGTACATAAGCATGCCAATCCCCTCAATGGCTGCAACCACAACCCCTGCAACCAATACATCCCAATCACCGGTTTGCCCGAGAATTGTTGCTAATGCATTGGCTGTATAGAAACCCAATAGAAGGAGAAATATCTTCATCGGGAAGTTCTTTCTTGCTGAGTTTAGTTTTTCTAATAGCTGTCTGCCACCAGCACTCACTATCCTACCCAATCGAGTACCACCAAGATTAGGGCTGTCTCCATTGAGATTACCTTGGTCACCATTTCCAGGAACACCACCAGTGTCTAAGGCAAAGGCTGGTTTCCAACCATGTCTTCTCGTTTCAAAACTGTTGTATGGTAAATAAAACAATGAATTGTTTGAAAAGAGATTCAATTATTGGAAAAAACAAGACTGGAAGAATTACAACAGAATATATCAGTATCTGATTCAGAAGCTACTCATAATCATGCATGTCTAATATGGAACTGGTTATCATTTTCTCTTAAAGAATCCTTCATGGTCACCCACTTTAGATATAGGAACCTGAACAGCTTGGGATTTTGATGAAGTTAAAAATATACCTTGTTTTGGAAAAAGAGGCAGACTTTATGCCAATCCTTGAAGTTGCTCCACGTAAAAAAGGTTCTCTGCTCCACCTCTGGACTGCATAAGTTGCAAGGGTTATACATGAACATTCTGAAACTTCATCCACTAATACCGACAAACAAGGCTTTAGATGCATTGCTATCACTTGGCAGGCCATAAACTGCACAAAAAGAAACTCTAAAACAAGTGTATTTAACCTTAAAACATCTAATTTACATATATTGGGTGTGAATTCTCAATCAATGCATTGCTCTCAAGGTAGTTCAAAGACTTTTCAAGAAAAATTTCAAGGTCATACGGAGAATACGGAGAATCTTAAAAGCACTTTTTCTTCAATATTTAAAAAATGAGTAACCATGCCAAACTTATAGAGATCTTTCACGATGGGAGCTAGACTGATCACCAATCTGTGCAACCTCATAAAGTTGTCAATGCAAGGAGCATGGGAGACTGATTTTGGTGCTTTGTTTATAGAGCATTAATCATCATTGTAATCATTCAGCAAGGACTGATTAGAACATCCCTAAAATAAAACATTCTGCAGCCTACAATATTTGAACAAAAAAATTGTAGTTCCCACAACCACCATGCTTATAACAAGCAGCGTTACAATCCTCCATAATATGATATTAAAGTTACCCATTGATGATAACATTAAAATCTTCTCTAAAGGCAAAAGGCATTCAGTAAGAAACTTTTACCAATGAAGAAAATGACTCTCTAGTAGTCTCCAGCGTAAAGAAGACTTTCAACTGTCATGAGGATTCATCTTAAAGATATCATTTCTTCATTTTCAAAAAAGTGTGTTCAAGCCAAACTTATGAGAGTGTTCTTGCACAAGGCACAAGGGACACAGGGAGTGATTAGCCATCTCTGCAACCTTGTAAAGTAGTAGATGTAACTGGACCATGTAAGCTAGACAACCATTAAGGCAAGAAGTTACTTGCTCATCCAAAGCATAGGTGAAGCTTGGCTTTTTCTTGTCTAAGTAGTTGCATGCTTACATATCATTTTTCTTCTCACTTTTATGATGAAGAACCTGGCATTTAAGTGACATGCTTGTTTTCTGTTCTTTCTTCTACCAAAATGCCCTCATTTATAGAATATTCAATACAACCAACATGCCAAAATCAAATTCTCCATTCTACACTTCTTCACCGTCACTTATAAACAACACCACTTAGGTAATAAAATTTCGTTACTTTCATGCATTTCCAACATTCCCTCACCATAACTCATTACATGTTCCACACACCCAACAAGGGACTTCAGAGTTCAGTCCCCCAAAACTCAAAACCCCCTATCCCACTCCCCCTGAAACTCCCCATTAGTAAAAAAAAACAAACATCTCTCTCCCCAAAAATCAAGAAAATACCATTTTCTGCCGATAATGTTTGATGATGAACATTGTCAGAGCAACTTTACAATTAACAACATGCAACAAAGAGCAGTAGGAACACCACATGCAAACAAACCCATAACCATAGACAAGGATCAATAAAAGCATAAGCAGAATTTTATTCTGCAATTACAGTATCAATTTCCTACAAATTAAATTCATAGGAAAATTGGGTTCATTTCAAAAATAAAATTAAAGAAATAAAATAAAAGAAAATTCAAACCTTAACCTTCAAGCTCCGAATCCGCTGTCAGCAGAATCTTAGTGGGTGACGTTGGAGAAGGAGAAAGAGAGCAGCAGAGAACGAGATGGTAAAATAGGAACGAAAACGCTGTCGTTTTTATCTTTCAGTTAGTGCTAGTTGAGGAATTCAAAAAGTAAGATGACTTAATTGAGAATTAGAAAACTGTTTAAGGACTAAAGCGTAAGCTTCTTTACTTTTTTTTCTTTTTCTTTTTCATCCTTAATAAATGAAAATGGAGTTGGTTCCCGTCCCGAGTTTTTTTGAAATCGAAAATGGAAGCAACAGTGACATCCTGCCCTTCAACCCCTCGTTGGAACCTCGAGCGGCCCTTCCTCACCGGCCGATTTCACCAGGTTCCATTTTTTCTCTCCCATTTTCCCAAGAAACAATCACAAAGAAGCACTCGCTGCTTTTTTTCTCGTTTCACCTTCTAGTTTCTGATTGCTACAATGTGGGTTCATAATTCTTTCAGGAAACAAAGGGTACATCTCGCTTCCCCGATGCCAAGAGTTTTTCTTTCGATTCTTTCAGGTATTGGATTGTGGGTGTTTTCTAGTTAGTGTTTTTCACCTAGCTGGATCATACTTGATTGTGAAATCTCTTTACATTGGCTTGTTTTCTGCCGGCCTTGAATCAGCTCCGGACCTGAAAAGCCCATTGGTTGTTACGATACCGCCGTTCAGGTACTTCTAACTCGAGCTGAGCTCAAGACTGCTACTTTCTACTAAATTGTCTTGCCTGAGCTATAATTTGTGTGCTTTTAGTTACTAACACACTGAACTTGATATGAGATGGGTATGATGTTTTCTTTCTGGATCTACATTATGTACATGTTCCTTTTATGGATTGGAACATATGACTTGTTGCCTAAAAATAGTCAAGTCAGTAATCTGTTCTGTTGATTATAAGTCCTTTTCTTTTTTGTACCTAGATGCTTAATTCGTGTAAGATGGCTGTTTTGTTTTTGAAAAGCTTCTGATGCATTTTTTGGTGCAAATGCAAATGCGTTCATTCCTGTTTTTTGGGGCACATTCTAAGAAAAAGGAATTTCTTTTGCTCTATAGACATGCAAATGCATGCAGATATACCCACTGACACCCTTATCCATGCTGAACAAAATTTAGGGTACTTTCCATTTGAAACTACTAGCGATCTCTAAAATTTCCATTTTTTCATGGTTGCACTTGCTAGCGCTTTAAAGATTGTTGTCATTGATTGGTTAATTGGTATACAGGAGCTTATTGTTATTGATGACCTTCTGTCTGCTTTGGTTGGAATTGAGGGACGATATATTTCAATTAAAAGACTTCGTGGAAAGGAGGGTAATGTGACTTTCCAGGTCGATGCTTCTATGGATTTAGCACTTCAGGTAACAAAATTTGAGTCCATATCTTGGGCATGTCATGTCATAGCTCACGATATTATGGTGATTGAAGAAACTTTCTATCAATGAAATCAAAGATTTAAGCAGAGGCATAATGAAGTGTAGATATGCATTTTTCAATTTTGAGGGTCTGTCTGCCTTCAGAATGGCTTCAACTGATCAAGAAGTTACTGCAGGAAATGGCTAAACGGATATTCCCTTTGTGTGAGAGCTTCCTGTTGATTGATCAATTTGTTGAATCAAGATCTCAGTTCAAGAATGGCCTAGTCAATCATGCCTTTGCTGCTGCGCTTAGAGCACTCCTTCTAGTAGGTTCTCTGGGTTATAAGTCTTTTGATTAACTCAAGTTGCATTCTTATTAATGTATGTTTCTTTTCATATTAACAGTTATTAGATTAGAACATCTTTTCTTCTACCGTTTTCTTTTTCATACTGTCTAATTGCTTGGAACATCAGCAAAGACTTCCCTTTTTCCCAGTTTGATTGCTTTATCCAATGAAACACAATTAAGTTACTTTGTCAAGTGTGAATGGAAAACTAACAAAAACATGATTAGGTATGTGATGTAGGACCTTTGTTGGATTGCTCTAGCTTCTGAAACTGTCACATACAATGGGATTGCTATGGCGTAAAAGTGATTTCTAGTTTTCATAAGGCAGGATAATAGATTGGGTTGTTTGACAGAAACTTTCAACTTAGTTGTTCTAAATTTATCACTTTGTGGCCAATTATTAAATGAATATGAGGCTTGACAGCCTGGAATTTGTTTTCAGTAGACATTAGATACAGTGCTGGATTTCTACCTATTATTTCATGCCCATACGATAGATATGTTGATTCAGTTCTTTATCTTTTTTCCAGACTCTGGTTCTTATAAAGTTTTATGCCCTCATTTTGGCATTACTGCAGATATTACTTACTCCTTCACTAATTGTCTCCTTCAAACTTTCTTTATCAGGATTACCAGGCCATGGTGGCACAGCTTGAACACCAATTCCGACTTGGAAGACTATCTGTCCAAGGATTGTGGTTTTATTGTCAGGTCCGACTTTTTTGGTTCCATGCGAGCATTTTTCGACTGTTTACTGAAAGAGCTTTCATCTATGTATTGGCAGCCAATGATGGGGTCTATGCAAGCATTGTCCATTGTGATACAGAAGGCTTCAGCTAATAATTTGGCTGGTTCTGCAGTGCTTAACCTGTTGCAGAGCCAGGTAAAATGCTTTTTAATTGATCTAAATCAAGGGATTCCTTTTCTCGGATTTGATCCTTGATGGCATTTTAAATTTCTATAGTGTGAATATTTAATATCTTGTTTCTCTTTTCTGGATATGGCTTTCTTCTTCAAGGCTAAAGCTATGGCCGGTGATAATGCTGTGAGGTCATTGCTAGAGAAGATGGCACAATGTGCAAGTAATGCATACCTGGGCATATTAGAAAGGTAAACCTCGTAATCCCCTGATTTGTTTTCAAGATCTACTTTTTATCTTTTACGCTTTGAAGATCTTTTATGTTTCACATGCATGTTCTAGGTTTATAATGAAACTATCATTTGAGACTTATTTAGGCAAAGATTGGTGGGATTGGCAAATTCTCGCCATTGAAGTAATGCACATTTTAATATTAGTTTTTAAATTTATTTAACTACTTGTTTTTTGTGGCCTTGATGGAATTACTGAAATATTTGATTCTAAATCTCCTTAATGGGTTCATTGTGATGATATTGTACGATGGTTTTGATATTTCAGTAAAAATATGGAAGCTAAATGAGTAACGTGAATGATTTTAATGAGAATTTCTTGGTTAGTGGGTGAAGAAAGAAATTTTTTTTTTTTTTTTCACTGAGCACAAAAACAACCACCATTTCCCTAACCCTCACATAAAAAAGAAAAAGGAGAAAAACTGAAGATTTTGTGAGCTCTGCAACTTCCTTGTCCTTTTTGGTCCAATTGGGCAATTGCTGCTTCATTTTCTTGATTTATTTTCTACATTCAAATCATTAAATTTTTTCTTCTGAGTTTTCTTTTTCATTTTTTAAACTAACATCAATTTAACTTTTTCTCTACACCTGATGTGGAAATCAGTTGAAGCCACCAAAAGATGGGTAGAGAATCACTCTACAAAAAGTTTTCTCTCTTTGAAAGATGTGCTTAAGTTTTACTTTAGTTTGTGGATTGAATTGATTCTAAATGGCTATTATGATGGTCCAATGCATACAAGAAATAGTATTCATTATTACTTGATATGGTTTGAGTTGTTTCGGACTGTTACATTGTTAGGATTCACGTTTTATGATATTCACATTTTCAACAATAATGATTCTTTTTTCTGAACAGGTTTCCTTAAAAACTGGAAGTTGCTTCTTGTTTGGAACATTATGTCGTGTTTTTCTTTTGTGATTTGGCCTATCCCTAATCCCTACAGCATTTTAGTGATTTTCAGCCTTGCCCTTGTTTACACTTATTCTACTTAGATTCAAAAAATTACAACATTTTACTTTGGATTGCTAAATATTAAATTTTAATACTAAATTACTATATATATTCTTTTCATTGATGTTTCTTGTTTTTAAGCAGTTCTGATATGATAATTATACTCTCTTCTTTTTTATTGACATTTTGCCCATGTGGAACTCATATATAGGTGGATCTATGAAGGGGTGATTGATGATCCTTATGGTGAATTTTTCATTGCTGAGAACAAGTCTCTTCAAAAGGTATATTGATTCCATTCCTAATTTTGACAGCATCATATCTGCTCATTAAAATGCTTCAAACATTTTATATTTTACAGGAGAGCCTAACTCAGGACTATGATGCTAAGTATTGGAGGCAACGTTACAGTCTGAAAGAGGACATTCCTAGCTTCCTTGCAAATATTGCTGGCACAATATTGACTACGGGGAAGTATCTAAATGTCATGCGAGAATGTGGGCACAATGTTCAGGTTTAAGTTTCTTTCTAATCCAGTGTACAGTCTGTTTGATAAAAAAGGATCATGTTGATTAGAACATGCCCCTGACTGGATGTTACTTTTAGGTTCCTATGTCTGAAAATTCAAAATTGATGACCTTTGGTTCAAGCCATCATTATCTTGAGTGTGTGAAAGCTGCTTATGAATTTGCCAGTGGTGAGCTCTTAAATCTCATAAAAGAAAAGGTAAGGATCAACTCAATGAATTTGTCAGATATTTTCTTTTTGCCTTAATACAATTTTTATTCACATATCCTTCTTTATCTTAGTCTGAATATGCTGATGATGATGTACAATTAATATTACAGTATGATCTTGTGGGAAAGCTGCGGTCTATAAAGCACTATCTTCTTCTTGATCAGGTAAAATTACTACAAATTGGTGAATTTGGGATAGTAACGAATTACTTAAAATGATGTCTGTTCAATGTGGTTGCTCAAGTTGACCATAAGAAAAGAATGCGACCATTACTATCTAAGATTAATCGGTAACTTTGTCTTAATAAGTTAGCACAGGAATCACTGAACATGACTTAGCATTCAGTACTTTAATGTCTTTAGTGCATAGGTTGTAAAACTTGACTTGAAATGAAGTTATATTCTTTAATGTTTTTTAAGTCGGGTTGTGTCTAAAATTGCTGCTCAGACTGAGTTAAATGGTTTGGATTTTGATGCTGTACGCTGGAAAACATTTGAAGACTATCTAGGAGTTAGATTATTCAAAGGCTTTCAGATTGTAGAGTCTTAGCATCATAAGAAGATCATTGTGGAGGGGAGTGGATAAAAAATGTCTCTTTTGATAATGGAGTGGATGGTCAGGGCTGCTGGTAGATTGGCTCTTTGATATGCTCATGATAAACATGATACATAAATATCTTTGATTAGATAACTTTTTCAGTTATTCTAATACAAATATTAGTAAAATGCAGGGTGATTTCTTGGTTCATTTTATGGATATAGCCCGAGAAGAGCTCTTGAAAAAGCATGATGAGATTTCTGTGGAGAAGTTGCAGGTTGTATATTTTTCTGTTTTTATGCTGCATAGGTTACATCGATTTCAATCCTTTCATAGAAGTACAAAACTAAAATGAAAATATTTATAATGGTCATGATTACTAAAATGAAGTTTTTTCTGCATATTTGAATATAGTCTCTACTGGACCTTGCTTTACGTACCACAGCTGCTGCTGCAGATCCTTGTCATGAGGATTTAACATGTTTTGTTGTAAGTATACCTCTCCTTTTCATCCGTTCATAGGTGAAACTTTCGGATTGAATCTGCAATAAATCATATTTTGTGTTTGTACTCTCAGGAGAGGTCTTCTTTGCTGAAAGGATTGAGCACTTTAAAAGATTTGGATATCAAGACAATTTCTGATAATAATGATGCAGAGGAGCCCTTGAGCATTACTGGTCTTGAGACATTCTCTTTGAGCTACAAGGTTTGTTCCAACTTCCAAGACTGTTTCTCCTACAAGGAAATTTTGATCTTGTGGTGATATGGTTGTTGTTCCTGTAGTAGTAGCAGCAAATCTCTCAAAAAGTGTATGCTTTAATATAGTTTCTGGATAGTGTTAAATTATTTTAAATAATTTTTGTCCAATAATCCTAATGGACTGTGCTGACCCATATTTCTCAAGGTAATAGAAATACAGAATGGAAGATTGTTACACTTAAATTATCTGGTGGTATATTTGCTAGTAGATCTTCTAAGAGTTCTTTGTTTTTTCAGATTCGATGGCCATTGTCAATTGTTATATCAAGAAAAGCCTTAGCAAAATACCAGTTAATTTTCCGCTTTGTTTTCCATTGTAAACATGTGGAGCGGCAGCTTTGTGGAGCTTGGCAAATGCATCAAGTATGGGCTTGAACTTTTTTGATCTAGTTTGGCCACATGTTACCTTTCTTTTTATATTTGGATAAAAAAAGAAAGAAAGAAAGAAAGAAAGAAAAAAGATAATCTACGTGTCTTTTATTTTCTTCTGTTTTGATTGCAATATTTTTTTCTCTCAGGGAGTTCGTGCTTTTAATACTTGTGGAACTGCCATCTCTCGATCGTCTCTGCTATGCCGTAGCATGCTCAAATTTATTAATAGCCTTCTACATTATCTAACATTTGAGGTAATTTCTTGTTGTGTACAGCACAGTTTCTGTAAGTGCATTTGAAGGCCCAGACAAGTACCTGTTTCCTTTATTATACTTTGTACTTCTTTTTCCTTGAAAAAAGGAAATCTAAAAAAAAAATAATAATTTTGTTTTTCTTTGTCTCTTGCTTCTTGTCTGGTCATCAGATGACAAGGAAGAGGAATAAGAAAATGTGTTATCTTAGATGCACCGTGAGGGGTATGTCTATTTGACCTCATTGTTCTTTTATTGTTTTCAGGTTCTTGAACCCAATTGGCATGTGATGCATGGTAGGCTTCAGACAGCTAAAAGTATAGATGAGGTGTGACATTAATTAATTGAACTTCCATATTCTCCATATCTGCTTTTTTAAAGGAAAAGGTGTATAATTGTACTCGTTTATGGTGATGAATCAATGCATCATGAGACATTTCTGATGCTGCTCTTTTTGTAACAGGTCATCCAACATCATGATTTCTTCCTTGACAAGTGTCTTAGAGAGTGTCTGCTCCGCTTGCCTGAACTGCTCAAGGTATGATCATTTTTAGTAATTGTAATCTTGAAATACTTGTCTACCATAAGGTGACTTTTTAAATTAAATCAAATGCATTTAAAATAATAGATTGATGCGACTGAACTGAACATTCCGTCCTTTTTGGCTGGGAAGTGTACAAAATAGATGTTAGTTTCCAAAAACCTCATTTTCTCAAAAGAGAGGTAAAGTGAAGTTAGGAAAGAAGAACTGAACCTCAGAATCCTAACCAAGCCAGCCTTAAAATACTGCTTGATTCAGCTAAATTTGCCACTGCCACTGCCAATGACTTCCTTAACAATACTGCTTAAGTAGCATTTGTTGTAGATCTTGGTTTGCCAAGTGATTTGGATCTTCCCCATCATTTATTTCATATGCCCTATTATGAGGGGTTTAAGATTGAGGTTCAGGACCATGGATATTATATATTCCATCTTCAATCAAGGAGGAACTTTTATATATCTATAATTTGGGGGCATGATTTGTTAAGGAGTCACTATTAATTTTGACTTTGGAGTTTATCATTAAGAAGTCATATCTATAATTTGTCAACCCAAGAAGAAAAAAAGAGAAATCATGACTCTGGAATTTATCATTTCAGTTTTTGAACAAGACAAGTATGCTGTCAGAATTTACTTGTGAATATCTTCTAGAGGTTGATTTGACCCAAGGAACATTCTATTTAAAATAGCAATGTTGGAGACCTGATCTGTACTTGTTTCTCATTTGTGGCTTTCTTAAAGAGTGTGTTTTGTGGATGCAGAAGGTGGAGAAGTTGAAATCCTTATGTCTACAATATGCAGCAGCAGCCCAGTGGTTAATTTCATCTTCTATTGACATTCCCAAATTAGAGGATGCACCATCTGATACCTCACTTGGTCCAGAAAAATCCAAACAGTGGAAATCCAGAAGTCTATCTAAGGCACAAAAACTGATGACTAGAAACGCAGCAGTTACTGATTCAATCCTGTAAGTATAGAGAATGACAGAAAGCTTCCCCTCTCTTGGGAATGACAGCTCTCCTTACATTTATACTTAACATGTTTGCAGAAAATTCGAGAGGGAATTCAATGCTGAGCTTCAGAGTCTGGGACCAATCTTGAGCAGTAGTTCCCAGGCAGAACCATATTTGACTCATCTAGCACAGTGGATTCTTGGCGTTGGTCATGATCAATAAAGCCATTGATCCATAGGCACTCTTTGCGCATCGGGTTGTGACGTGTTTATCATTCTTGGGTACTTTCCTTCATCGCCAAAGGCTGGGTTTTGCCGAAAGATGTCTAGGAAAGACGAGTTCTACACTGAATTTGGCTTTGTTGAGTGGTGGTCACAAGAGTACTACGTACCTCCAGTTGGACCGAAGAAGCGGATGTTTGTCCTGCGTCAACTATAATCTGTATAATATGCTAAAGTTTTGTTCAGTTCTTATGATCTCTGGAGAAACGTGTTTTATGACACAAAAAATAGGTTCATGTCCATTGTTGGGTGTTTTGGAATTGTTCTTATATTTTCCTTTGTCCTACTGTATGTTTGCGTTCATCAAATCGAGTGAAAATTGCATTTTTTTCTGACATGATCAATTGTTTTTAAGGTGACAAGATCCTAGCGTATGCAATTTACAGGGCAGTCCATGTCAAAATCTCCATTGTTTGTTTCAATCATTCTCTAGATTTAAACATTCCAGTTCAGGGTTACAACACAAAATTGTGATCTGAAACCTATATTTTACTGGTGTAATGTAGATGTTTAGTCAGCTTCAAGCTCCGCACCAAACTGCTCCAAACGTTGAGTTTCTTCATCCAAATCCCGTATCAAAGCATGATTAACCGATCCATCATCCTCACTTGCATGTATCTGTCTCCCACCAAACCTAGATGAAAACATGGAGAGCATTACAACAAAAAGTAGTGCCAAAACAGTAATGACTTCTGGAGCATGGATGAATATGATATGGGGAATCCTGATCTTTCCAGTCATTCTATAGGGGGTATTATATGATTGTTGAGAGAAATATCAGCTTACTTTAAACTACGAAAATCTAAGAAAGGAAAACAACTTGCTTTTTGCTAGCAGACGATGCAAGGTCATATGTGAGTCAATCACGCTATTCACACACAATATGAACACATTATTTAACGATTCACATGTAGATAACCATTAAATTAGCTTCATTGGTAGAATCCCATAATGCAACAGAATTGGTTTTTAGTTAACTTATGGGTAGAATCCTGCAAGTTAAATGTTCATGCTATGGTGTATTAAACTAAATAAAGCAAGACACTTTCTAAGGTTTCGAAAGAATTACCATCTTCCATTCATCAACTCTATGCACTTCTGGGCTTCCTTCCGATCCTTGTATCTTACCAAAACAACGCCTTGTGGATTGTTCTCACAAACCTACAAGATAACAAAAGACAATTTTAAAGTGGAATTACAAAACCCAAAAGGAAATTGGCAATTAAGACAGATATGAATAGCAATACCCCTCATGAGGAGTTAGAGAAAGAATGGATGAGGGAGGGGAGAAATTGTTTAGCTTCCTTGGGGAAAAAACTTGGAATTTAATCAAAGTAGAAAACCATTAGTTCTCCCCTTTCACTCCAAACCCAATTTCTAGAATCCCTAAAAATTGGAGAAAACTAAAGTGAAAAGATTTCTCTGTAAGTGTCTTCCTGTTTGTACTACAAGTTATGCCTCAAGTCCTCCAGACATATACTCAAACCAAGGAAGGTACTAATGTCTCCTTTTCCTTCTTCTCATCCTTCTCACATGTCCAAACAAGGACCCTTGTCATCCTTTACAATGTTTACATTCCATCTTTTCTGATCCCTTCCTTTCCTATTGTCCCATCCCACTTTACTGAACACGGGAGAAAATTTACAATTTTGAATTAATGCTATGTGAAGGTCGCTTGGAGACCTTATGCAAAACATCTCATCAGAGAATAACTTCCCCTTTTCCTTTTACTCTACAATACTAAATTGCACAAAATTTAGAGCAAACAAACTGTTCCCATAGAGGGATAGATAAAAGAAATGCAGAAGAATGGTTTGCGTGGTAAACCTAGTTGTGACATACTGGTATTAAATTTAAACACAAATAATGTAACTTCAAAACTGATTATTGCAATACACTGGTTTTAAATTTAAACCTCTAGGGTTGCCTCAGGTGAAGACTACCTCAAGTGAAATCCTCTGAAGGAAAGAGACTTGAGGTAGTCCTCGCTTCAGGCAACCCCAGAGCAAAGAGAAGAGGTGAAGCGGCATCACATCCTAACAACTATAGATAATCCTTGAAATTGATTTCAGAAGAGTCTACTGAAAAATTTTCTAGGATAAAGAGCTTCTAACCCATCCATATTTTATATTAAATTGGAACAATCTAAGAAACAATTTAATCAATGTTTGCCAAGGTATCTACTAAATGCAGGGATTATTGCCAAAGATACCCAAGTCATTACTCAGATTTTATGGCTATTTATACAGCTGTAAGAGAGCACATGCACCAAATTAGTTAGAGAAATTCATGAGTGAGTAGTTACACCACCTTGACAGAGTCCACAGGACCAAGTTTTGCACATTCCTCTTTAACATCTTCCTCCAGTTCTGAACGTAAATTTTCATCGGCCTGAAAAAGTATATGGTCACTGGGAAAGTCAACCCCTCAACTTTAACAGTGAAATAAATGCAGATGCCCACGTAATATATAAAATTCACAAATTACTAAATATTGGATGGTGACTTTTCATATGCATAGATTTAGTCATACTACCAGATGTAAGGGATAGTTATCAAATAAATTGTATGCAGTT